AAATTTTTATTATAAATAATTTTATATAATATAATTTTTATTTATATAATTTTTTTAATTTTTTTTAATTTTTAAAATAAAATAATTTTAATTATTATTATTTTAATAAATTTTTTAATTTTATTTAATTTAATTATTATATTATAAAATATATTAATTAATATTTTTTTAAATAATTAAATAATAAATTTTTTATTATTTAAAATATTAAAGTTTTTAAAACTTTTTAAATTATATTTTAAAAAAAAATTTTTTTAAAAATAATTATTAATATAATATAAATTTATTTAATTATTATTAAATAATATTTTATAATAAAAATTATTAAATATTTATTTATAATTATAATAATTAAAATAAAAATAATTTATTTAATTTTATATATTATATTAATTTTTATTAATTATTTTATAATTTTATTTTATATAAAAAATTTATATTTTTAATTAATTATAATAATTTTTTTAATATTATTAAAAAAAAAAAATTAAATTTTTTTAATAATTTTTATATAAATTAAAAAAAATTTATTTTATTTTTATTTAATTAAAATATTAATATATTATTTAATATAAATTTATTATTAAAATATTATTTTTTTTTAAAAATAAAAATAAAAATAATTTTTTTTTTTTTTAAAATAAAAAAAATAATTTTTTTTTATTATTTATTAAAAATTATTTTTTTAATAATAATAAAAGATTTTTTTAATTAAATTTTTTAAAAGTTAATAAAATTTATTATTATTTTAAAATTTTTAATAAAAGTAATAAAAGTAAATATAAAAAACATTTTATTTAATAGTTAATTAAATAAAGTAAGGTTTTTTAATAAAAGGGTATCTAAAAGGTAGGGTACCTGTAGGTGTAGGAGGGAAGCTTAAGCCTATGTATGATGACATTATATTCTATTATCATTTTATCCTTCAGCACTACTATACATTTCGGAAGCAAAGTATCGAAGTGCTTGCAATGGAGGCCCTCCGCCGTATAGCTCGCATGCCGTCCTGACTCGTCACATTCTCGTCTGGTTCGTCCCACAAATGGACTTCTAGGATCAACCAGCGCTAGCCACAGCAAGATCATGATTGATGACATTGGCGAAGTCCTCTCTCTGACGGACTTCAAGCACTCGGTGCCGCCATATGGGGGATAGAGAGGGTGGGGGTCGTTGCGCAGCAATAGATAAACAGTAGAGAAAGAAGTACCAAGTATACCCATGATCTGATCCTTTGGCACTGTCTAATACGGAATCAAATCTGAATCACAAAACCACCGATGGTCGTGACAGGGCAAAAACGACGAGGAGCCCAAGGAAGCACAACCACATGTTTCTGGGTTTTTGGCATGTTCGCATCCTCATTTTATGGAATCGTTGTATTTGTTTTTCTGGTGAGCCTGGCTTCCGTTCTCACTGTAGCCGCAGAGAGTCTTGACACACATATCGTAACTCATACATCACCTAATGATGAGTTATCGATTACGAGATTGTCGCAGGAGATGAGGGCTATGTATGACACACCTGGATCCATAAGGCTTTCACCAGCCTTGTCTGGTTTCCATAATTGCGGCAACAACTATATTTACACTGCATGCCAAGCACTCATTTATCACTCTGCATCTAGAAATTCCGAAATACGGGTATGCTTATGCAGCCTCTATCGGTGGAGCTTGGCTATTAGCTGAGCACAATCGCTTTGTACGGTACATTCCTAGCGAGGAAACTGGGATAAGCTTGTACTGGCTTATTATTTACTCAGCGATAATACTTGTATACAATGGGCCGAATAATGTCAGGAAATCCAAGTGATGAAAGACAAGAAAGACAGGGAAAATGCCTAGTTCTTTCAAGGGTTGGTGATAAAGGCGAAAGTTCTTGGCGTCTTACACGATAGAAGATAGTGGGAAAAGAGATATATATATACACCCGACCAACTGATGGCTTGCGAAACAAGGAGCTGCAAAGAGTTGGGCCAATACACATCTGCACGCCCTAACCACGTGGTCACCAGCATCTGTTACTATTGTTCATGATTGTAGTTACCATGTTGCTACCATATTAATTCAGCGTTCAGCAGTTGGTGGCGCGGGTTGGTACCACTGGTGATAGTTGTAAGGCACGAGGTTGGAACAGAACGATGGGGATTCAGGGACAGTCTAGCACGGAAGTGGAACTTTTCACACTAGAGTGGATTGAAGTACTCCGTACATGGCGACATGTATGTATTAATAGTTAACACCAATCTCCTCCCTAGTTTGGTGGGTACAGAGTTTACGTCAGCACCCCATCTCCTGATAATTGTTAGGATCTCAAACCGATCGGCCAGTCGACATGACCGGAGAGAAGTAAGGGGAAATAAAAGGAGATCTCACCTCCCAACAGAGCTCCTTGGTTCACTATTAGAAGGGACATCACTAACTCCCCATTATGCCAAGAGGACCAGGGCAGTCTCGGCGTTGCAGGGCCTGCCGGAACCAAAAAAAGAAAGTACGTTGTCATCGAGCATATCCTATCCCCTCATTGCACCTCGGGCACTCTTCCCCGGATGGGGAATATCCTAAGCTATCAACTGACAAGGAACACAGTGCGACCTTCAATTTCCAAGGTGCGGTCTTTGCCGCCACCGGTGCGTCGAATGCATCTATGACCAAGGGCCATCCTTCGTACACAGCTGGGCACCTAAGGACCGTGGACGCAACACTGCAAAAACCGCAGGTTGTAAGTGAATCCAATTCCAAATGACCGCGGAACGCTTGCTTATCCCAATGATCCAAGCGCTCCGCAAAGCTACAAAGTCGGACGAGCCGCTCGACATCTTGTTATCCGACACACTAGTACAGGCTGCATTCGAGGCTAAGTGCCTCGGTTTATTCTGGGAGTCTTTTCTTCCATTCGGATGCCCCATTCCAGAAACTACCACTTCAAGCAGCTGGACGCTCCTCGCGCAAGATTTGTATCTCCACGAGCCCATATTGCGGAAGGCTCTCGTCGCTCTCGCATTGGCCAACATTGGAAAGAGAGATAACAAGCAAGGGATGCGAGATACAGGGCTCAGAATTTACGGGAAAGCTTTGTGTGGAATGAGAGTGGCGCTACTGAATCCGTCACAGGTCAATTACGATGGAATCTTGGTTGCCACTAAGATAATGAGCCTCTTCGAAGTTGCCCTTCCTCTTCTCCCTCCCTCTTTTCGAATTGCGGATTTGGAGCTAACAAAGTCAACCAGATGTTCCATGGAGACGATAGGCAAGACAAAGTCGCCCAAGCGCGTGCTTGGCTTGATCACGTGAAGGGGGAGATTGCACTCTTCCTCGGGAGAGGCCCGAAGGGGTGCGCCAGCGGCGTCAGCCATCGCATGTTTCGTGACGGGCGTGCAATCATGGTTAGGGCCCCGGACTTCCATTACATGAACCAACTAACGGTTGCGATACCACGAAGGTGCTTCCGAGCATTTATAGACGCAAAAAGTCCATCCTCAGCAGCCCAGCCTGGAAGCATATACCCTGGAGCCTGGTACCGAAATCTGCCACGGACAGCCTGGTGGACATTTTGGTGGACATTCCCATCGTCTTGGAGAAGTGGGACGATCTGCAAGGCGAGACTAATCTAGGGAAAAAGCAAAGGCTACAAGAAGCGTTGCTTCAAACCTGCTGGAAATACGACAGAGACCTGCTTGCTTGGTTCACATCGTTTGGCCCCGTCAAAGTGGCGGAAGACTTTGACTACAACGCTCAGATTTCCACGAAAGACATTGCCAGGGCCCACACGTTGAACCTATACTGGACTACCTGCCTTATACTATACAATGTGATGTGCAGGGCAGCAGTCTCGCAGACGGAGCTGCCGGCCCGAATAGACCCTTTGATCTGCTGCCGCCACATTGCGCGGTCATTGCCAATCTTCCTCAAGAAAAGTAGCGGCTGGTGGGGTCTTAGTGTTGCCCTCTTCCCTATGGGCATGGCACTTAGATTCCTCGCTACGAAGAAAGACAGCGAAGAATATTCTCGAATACGAGGTTTCATCGACCACGAAACACAGGGCTTCCATCTTAGTCAATTCCTGAGTAGCAGTCGGCGCAATACGTCCGCTCTACTCTTACATAATGTTCAGGGAATATTTTAGATGAATCAATTGGCTGGGCTGTGACGACGGTTGAAGTGAAATGGTGGAAGGAGTAATTGTGTATATAAGACGCGCTGAGCTGGAACCGAGGGAAGTTCTTTATTAATGAAAGTATCTGTTTTTAGCTAGGCTACTTATTGTTTTGTCTTTAAATTAGCTCTTTTCGTGAATTCCTGCTTATTTCATTATTCCAGACGAAGACACCCGTCTTCTGCTCATCAAAATTTTCTCACGGTTGGCCATCCCGTTGTGGAGAAGATCTTAAGCACCCGTCCAGGCGGTCTCATCCATTATCGTAAACAGGTAGAATCTCTAATCTAGAGCAATAAGTTCGTTGACGTAATGACGGAAAGTGACTGGATATTCCAATCCCAATATGCCCTGGGATCAGGTCGAGCTATGTCAACAGTACGAGTAGCCGTTGTGGCGACGATTACTGGGAGCAAGCCGGAAATACTCTGGTAAGTGCATTTTTGGCCAAGCCTAGAGTTAGGCAATAGATAGGCGGCAGAGAGCTGCAATGTTATATAGTGAATCTTAACTTTATGCCAGAGGCCTCGCTCACGTTTTGCCCAGCGATAGACCTTATCTCTGCTCCCACATCCCACCAGACTCCCAAAATCTTTCCCATATTTTCCCCAAGCCACCACGGTAAAGAGGCTATGTAAACACGCCTGATGTTCACTAATACATACTATGACTAGAGATATATTAGCCCGGAACCCGATGCACTCGTCGCCCGTTTCTTCCTTTCTTAGATAAATCTCCGCAAAGTGCGATAGCCGGAATCTTGTTGAAAATAGCTTCTGTGGCCACGTCAGCGCACTAATATTCAAGCTGCATGGCCATCGATGCCAGGCTTCTATTAACAGCCCCAGTACGTAATAATGCAAGCTCCACTAATAATCAGAGAAAGAAAGAAACAGGCAACAAATAGATATCCAGTCTTGAAGTAGGGTTGCAAGTGGAGCGTGTCTAATTTGGGGTATTAATAACTAACCCAGGCATATTACTACCCTTGCACGTGTCTGGTCGCGCACTTACACGCGGGCTTATTTACAGTACTCAGGATCCACTAAAGTTGGGCAGTATGGAGTAGGCACAGCTGGATTCACGGGTATTCAACTCTACGAAAGAAGTTAAGCATGTTGGAGGCGTGTGGGATCTAAATCAACCTTTGTAAAGCTTCTTTCAAGTAATAAGTATCCATGCAGGGGGGCGGTAGCGATATTACCTAGAATAGTAAGTTAGACGGATACCTTCCCCCTTGCTCTGGCCTATGCGTACTTCGTAACTAGCTACCGCTTACAGTGATGTTCCTCCTGAATCCCACCTTCTAGCATACATAGGTATATAGTTAGGCCACTCTTGACAATGCTACCACGAGATGGATTTGAATGTAAGAGCAACAGGCACGACGAATTGTAGTTGCTCTTACTCTTCGAGCTTCACTCGTGTTTCTTCCCTTTCTGACATTGCTTCTGGCACGGAGACATCATGCGTTTTTCAGCCCAGACTCTTGTCTCAATAGTTGCGGGTTACTCCCTAGTGGTTCCTGCAACCCCTACCAACACCGTGTCAACTATTTTTGAGAGGAAGTCGGCTGACAGTGGCGATATTGCGTCAGATTTCTTGTCTAGCTTGATAGCCAATGCTTCACAGGCAAATGCAAGTTCTGCAGGTGAGAAAAGGCGGCATCCAAGCTCATTGCAAGCGAACGTTGGTTACGCCAAGTACCAAGGCTACTATGACTCTGCAAGCGACCTAAACATCTGGAAAGGGTATGACTACTTTAACTTTGGCTTTTTTTGTCTCATTTCCAAGTCGGATGGCTGAACTATACGGATGCGTCTCTTGCTACAGCATCAGATACGCAGAAGCACCTATAGGGAATCTCCGCTGGCAACCACCACGCTTTCCTACCACTCAGTCATCAGCACAACCAATCCCCGCTACTAACTTTGGCCCCATCTGTCCCCAAGCATATCCAGCCATTCCTGGGGTCCCTAGCATTCTGGGTAATGAAGACTGTCTGTTCTTGAACGTCTACGCGCCATCCAATTCCTCCATGCTACCGGTCTTAGTGTACATCCACGGTGGTGGATATGGCTTCGGTGACGGTACTCTCGATATGAGTGGTATTGTAAACAGTAACGACAACAACTTCATCGCTGTCACCATACAGTATCGAGTAAAGGAGCATTCACATTCCACACACCTTCCACTTGTCGTCCGCATGCTGACAGAAAGAACCTAGCTAGGCGCATTCGGCTTCCTGTCATCGCAAGAATTGAAGAGCAAAGGCGTTGTAAATGCCGGCCTTCTCGACCAAGCGTTTGCACTGCTGTGGATTAAACTCTTTATCGCCCAATTCGGCGGTGATCCTTTATCTATTACGATCTCAGGCGACTCGGCCGGCGGGAGCTCTGTTATGTACCACGACATGGCTGCTGGAGGTAGCTTAGGCACCTTGCTTTTCAACCAGGGAATTGCTGCATCTCCATACTTACCTTTCCAATACACTTACAATGCTGCCTGGCCTACGGAGCGATACTATGCATTCTCGGTCGCAGCAGGCTGCCCCAGCTCCGGGAATGTCTTTTCCTGTCTTGCCGGAAAAGATACAATCAGCCTACAGAATGCCAACATCCAAATGGCCGCAAAGCAGGCCTATGGTCTCTGGTCAGTATTTAAGAAGGAATCTTATGTTTCTCGTCTGGGCTAACCATTGCATTATAGGGCATTCTATCCTGTTAAGGACAATGTCTACATCACAGGCCTACCCAGCCAGCAACTGAAAGATAAGAAAGTGAATGGAAAGAAGCTATTGGTTGGCAATAACGCCAATGAAGGCCCGCTTTTCGTACCGCCCGTCATCTCAACCGTCGCCGATATTACCAACTGGTTGCTCGCTGAATTCCCCAACCTCTCTGCCACCCAAATCAATTCTATCTTAGCAGTAAATCCTAACGACGCAAACACTACCGCTGGCCCCTTATTTGAAACCAACGGCATAACAGGTCTGAATGCTGTCAACGTATCCCAGGATGCGAATGGCCAGCAGCAACGGGCTAATAATATCTATGCCGAAGCGACGTTTGTTTGCCCGTCATATTGGATGGCGTCGGCATATACGTCCAATGGCCGGCGGAGCTGGCACTACCAATTCTCAGTTCCGTTCGCCTCGCATACAACCGATATGAATGCTTACTTCGGTCCATCGACACCGAACCTGTCTACCGATTTTATCCTGGCCTTTAGGCGCATTTGGGGCAATTTTATTACGAAAGGCGATCCATCTATAACCAATGCTATTGCTAACGGAGCCTCTTCGTCAAACCCTAATGTAGCAAATGGCGCCTCTACCTGGCCAGCCTGGACTGATACCAGGCCCAAGCAGCTCAACCTCAATGAGACAGGTGGCGTACCATATTCATTCACTACACAATGGGGCGTGCCTGTCACGCAGTTTCAACAACCTGGCCTACGCAATGATATCTCTGTTGTCCCTGCCGATACTTGGGAAGGTGGCCGCGGTACGCGGTGCAATTTCTACCAGACGCTCGCAAGCAGCATCCCGGCATAGAAGATCCAGGTAGTCTGGCCAACTTTTTTACCAAATTTATGAGCTTAAGGACACAAATTCATACTTTCAATAATTCCGCTTACAGCCATGGAAGTTAGTGGTAACTACCGCCTGCCATAGCTACTCAATTTAGCTTTTATAGGTGGTTATGAATAGGTACCTAGTGATGTAATTACATGGTTAAAATACTATTATTTACTATAATAATGGTAAAGCGCCTTCGCGATTTACTTCTCCTATGCATTGAAACTATTACGTATGAAAGGCTATTCTGGTCGCGCAGGACCACTGACCGGCGGTTCTACTGTAATTAGATGTGGCTATATTATACAAGTACTAAAGTATAAACCCACGCGCTGCACCACAACCGCCATCCTCCCCCAAAAGATATTAAGAGTTAGACTGAATATACAGATGGGCTGCCGGCCTTGACCTAAACGTATATTATCTTGAAGAAAAGTAAAAGGCGCGAGCTGGCAGTAGCTGCGGCTGGTACTAAAAGAGTGGTTGGGAGATGGTTAGCGTTCCTTGTTGACCAGTGCGGTGACCAGGTTACAATCTCTAAAGACGTGGTCAGGGCTGAAGCTAGCAATTATGGCGAGTAGAGTGATGGGACTCCGTTTGATCTGGCGTAGAGACAAGAGTTGCTTCAATCTTACGATACGGTCTCGTCGAAGTTTGGCAGGACCAATCACTACAGGGATGGCCGAGTTCTTTTGCCATGCAGCGGAAGTACTAGCGGGCTAAGGGAATTCCGGAAGCTATATTCTGAGGCGCATTGCACTTGCAGAAACCTAGCTGAAAAGGGAAGAAACGGGCGAAACGTACAGCTAGTCCTGATTGGTATGCTCTCCTATTAATTACCACCCAGCCTAAATATTAGCGTACTGATATGACCTCTAGTTTTCAATCAATATCCAATTCAGTCAAACGGCCTTCCAAAACGTGTGGAAGCTGCTGAAACCAGTGAGAGTTTCTCCTTCGATTCCGATTCCAAATAACATAGGGGCCCATATACACTTGGGCAAGCGGACCCTGCTGCGACCACTGCAAAGGGAAATGTAAGTGTGATAAAGATATTGTTTTGCTCAATTGCAGAGATATTACAATCTAGGACTGGAATTAACCCAACCCATTATACATCGCCTCACAGGACGGGCGCCTTGAAACTGTTGAGCTCTTTATTGATAATGGATCTAGTATCACGGCTAAAAATAACCATATATATACCTCTCAGGACTTGGCCTCAGACAGTAGCGATCTCGAGGTTATTAAGCGTTTTAAAACCGGTCGCATATTTTGTATTCGCTTCCAACGCCACGTCACATCTGTCCGATGCCGTTTATTGTTATAGCTATTTTCTCTACTCATTTATTTAGATCCGAGAGGAACACGAGTGGTAAGCCAAGATAGTATCTTATGTGTACAAGCTCACGGAACATTGATGCCCTAGCATCTTCATCCTTCTCGTATCTGGATACTTTATTTCAGGTGCTATCCTTTAGTAGTCAAATATATTCACGCCGTTTTATCTTTCCTTCCCTTCCGATTCTATATAACGCTGAGATGGTTCTTATGAACAAACCAACGGGAGCTTATTGACTTCGCACTCGATATCTCTCCACGAGTTGGATGCTCTTCGGATGCTAAATAAAGTAGAGGAACCAATCGATTCAATAGAAAAAGGAATAGCTTATCATCTAGCTATTACTAACCCTTAAATACACTCCATAATCCATCCCACACCTGGGACCTAGACGGGTACTGTGGGATGCCTGATTAGTGCCTAAAGGGTGGAGTTGAAAACCCAAGGCTTAGGTATAACTATCAAGAGCAAGGGAGTCTCAAACCGCCTGCCGGAGCGGAGCAATTTAGTCTTCGGGATATTGTATCATGCCGTTAGAATCATCATCAGCTGCCCTGACCTATCTCAGTTAGCCGTATGATGATGTAAATGCACACCAGATACTAAAAATACGATAAGTACGTTGACTGCAATTCGTAGTCGGACGAGCTCCAAAAACGGGATCGCCGCCCATCTATTTTACTCATATGCAGACAAAGTACCCTTTTTGTATAAATACGGTCGTCTGGGACTATTGTCTATCTAAAACACTTTTGATCATTCAGAACTTCTAGAAGATACATGAGCCACATTGCGACCATCAGCGCCATTACTCCCGTTTCGAACAGCCTAAGAACTCATTTAAATTTCAAGAGTGCTATTTAAAGTCTTTTCAATATCAAAGTCGGCTTCGACCTTATACATTATGAGCCCCATGGGTTTCAAAGTTATTGTTGTTGGTGGCGGCCCCGTCGGGCTTGTCGCAGCCCATGCTTTGTCCCGCGCTGGTATCGATTTCGTTTTGCTTGAAAGCCGACCAAGCATCGTAATTGATGCCGGTTCTAATTTGGTCATAAATCCTATGGGCTTGCGTGTCCTGGGTCAACTTGGACTTCTCCCTGCCTTCGACGCCGTTAGTTCACCGCTAGCTCAAATTGAACGCCTGGACCACAATGGGAAGGATCTGGGCACCAGCCAGGCTTTCGTGCATATCAGTGAAAAGTATGACATTTATTCTCCACGCAGCCTTGTAGTGCATACGTTAACGAGCTTAACAGCCATGGCCGCTCCCTCAGAGCCGTCAGCCGCCACGATCTTACCGCTGTCCTCTACGACTCACTCCCAGATGAGAGCAAGGCCAAAATGTTCGCTAACAAGCGCGTTTCCAACATCTCCATCACAGATAATGATGTAACCGTCATTTGCCGCGATGGGACTTCTTATAACGGATCCATCGTTGTCGGTGCAGACGGTGCCCACAGCGTTGTGCGTGACCAGATGCGCATGCTCACTCTCCAAGCAAGCCAGATTTCGGGCCCCGAGGATTCCCAAGTCAACGAAGAACAGCCATTCCTAACAACCTACCGTGCTCTCTGGATCCGCTTCCCCACACAGGGAGACCTGCGCCCTGGAGATGCCAATGAGACGCACGGGCGCGACGTCGCTGTCCAGCTGTTCGCTGGCGAGGACACCACCGTCATTGGCATCTATGAGCACATGGACATGCCAACCCGTGAGCGCATCCGCTACAGCACCGCCGACGAAGAGGCCTTTGTCGGTCGATGGGGTCATCTGCCCATCTCTCACGGATTGACGATCCGCGACGCTTACAATGCGCGCGTCGGCGAGGGCAGGGGCGCTGGAATGATCAACCTCGAGGAGGGCGTCGTCCAACATTGGTCACATGCTGGACGTATCGTGCTTGTTGGTGATGCGGCGCATAAGTTCACCCCCAGCACTGGTGCTGGATGCAACAATGGCATCGTTGACGTAGTTACGCTCTCCAATGAGTTGGCAGATATGTTCCGATCCATCGGCGGTGTTCACAATATTCCTACCACGGCGCAGCTCTCAGCTGCTTTCAAGGCCTACCAGGCCACCCGCTTTGATGCCGTTATTGCTGGGTGTGTCGGTTCCGGCCAGGTTACCGCAATGGCCACTTGGCAGGGACAGCTTGTTAAGTTTGTAGACCGTTATGTTATATCGAATCGCACCGTCGAGAAGTTTATATATTCTCGGGCTGCTACTGGCATGGCGAAATCTCCTGTGTTTGATTATATTGATGGCGAGGAGGAGTTGAATGGGAAAGTCGCCTGGACTCAGCCTATGAAGTCGAGTAACTTTGCAGTTATTAACTGATGCAATTGCAAGTCCAAATTGCTATGTTGGTACAGGTTCTTAGCATAATCTTTTGCAATAATAAGACTGTCAAATGTCGTTCTCTCTCTCTGGGTTACCTTATCTCTTAGAAGAGATACCACTCTCGTCAATCAAGTAACTAGTTCAAGTGATGGGTGAGAATAATACTTAGATTGATCGCTGAAGTATGAAGTTAAAGACTGTCTAGTCAAGGGAACTATCTGAATCATATACTCCTTCATCCTTCAACAAGTGCTGTCATCTTTATGAGTTGTACTGCACAGCTCATTAATGCGCTGTGCAGCTCTCCATGTGTGTCGCACAGCTCTCCTTGGTCTTGGCACAGTTCTCTTCTTGCTGAGTTATCCTGGTGCCTGATGTAATCCAAATGGGGTGCGCATGACCCTGGCCCAAACAATCGACCTTGCTTGTTGGTCGTCACACCCCACTTCTCACGCCTTATACGCCTTCATCCTACTGCGTTGCCTTTTCCTGGACATACATATTAGGAGAGGACATACCATACCCCGCATCCGAAAAGCGTGATTCTTCCTCGAAATCTTCACGAGTCCGCGCAGTCATTACTTGCATCAACTCGCTGGCGATATGGCGGAAAAACTGCCAGCAAGTACTCCTTGAACTCTCTCATTTGTCAGTATGCTAACTATTCAATTATCCAAATCCAGGACCCGATTATGCCCCAAGCCGTCGCAGACCGACAGCTTGTGGGCGACAACACGTCTCTGCGCAACATACAAAGATCGATGAAGAAGGATCCAGACGGACATGGCATAAGTTCATTGGGCTACGATGGTGTGTTTCGCACTTTTGACAACGAACGGAATATTCTTGATGCAGTTGGACTCAACCCAACCCAGATCAGAGAATATTACGATGGTCTACCGATGCCCGAGAGATTGCTCACCGCCGACGGCCGCAACATATCCCGTTGGGATATGTTCCACCCCGATGTGGAGAATATTCCCAGGAAGTTTACAGAAGAGGATAAGGCTAAAATTCGGGCATATAACGAGGAGTTGGAAAGGCGCGGAGTTACATGCTGTGTTCCGGGCGAGTCAGCAGACAACGGTGAACCTGAGTACTAGATAGTTCCTTTGCTTTTATCGTTGCGGAATGCTCATTGTTCTATCCCTCGTCGCGCTATTTCCTATGCGTTTATCTTGTGATTCTGCGCGTCATGCATGATTCTTTTGGTTTTCGAAGCCATTTGCAACAACATCATGCTTATCCAAGGGAGTGGGATGACACTCTTGGGCTACTATGCGCCATTTGTGATCTCAGCATCTGTTATTATGCCTGTCGCAGATGGGCTGATCACAACCTGGTCAGTTTATTCTACAGTATCGATACTTGTAGTATTATCAGGACTTACCGGCTTTGGTACCGGGATAGGTTTCCTATGCTCTCAGGTCGCAGTCCAAATGGTTCTTGAGCAGAGCGATATACCACTAGGAATGGCTGTTATTTTATTCGAACAAGGATTTGGGCCCGCAATCTTTGTCTCGGTAGCGCAAAACATCTTTACTAGTCGGTTGTCGACGGATCTTGATCGTCTCGATCCCCATATTAATGCTTCTGGTATCAAGGATATGGGTCTTACGGACATTAAGGCGATATTTGGTCAAAGGGATCTGATCGAAGCGATGAGCGCTATCACTAAGTCACTAACTCAATCATGGTATCTCGCTGTTGGTTTGTCTTGAATGTCTATGGTCGGTTCGCTACTCACTGAATGGCGACCGTTAAGGAAAAGCAGGCGTAGCTCTTCGACAGGTACATAGCCTCTCGAATAGCCAAGTCTGAATAAATCTTACATTAATTAGCCCGCAAAGTTGCACCGTAGCCAGCTGGACCTGTGTGAGCAGCTCAGCACCTGCGTCGTTGTTCTTGAGTATGAGCAAGTGCTAGTCTTACTAAATGACTGGTAGACCACTTGTACTTATTATGCACGCAACACCCGAACTGTCTAATCGTTTACGTCGCAACTTCATCTCTGCATTGCACTAGACCCTCTTTGACGGGATTTATGGAGTGATTCGGCGGACGGGTGCCGGTAGCCGTAGCGCTTACCTATTACAGTCTTCCAGGGACCCCACATCACCGCCCCTGCATGCCAAAACTTAATCTGTCGTGCGTATGGGCCAACTTAGTGCAACGTCGTCCAACGGGGATCTCCCTATCTAAATGCTTCTAACCGCGAAGTAATGCCCCATAGTGGCAATTCCACGGAGTAATACTACGTCGTATTATGTTTGTCATGTGAAAGTTCTGTTGTTGGCTGCAATCGCCTTGATACAAAAGTCCTGCTGTTGGCTCTAATTACAGGTACATTGATGCAGAAGTGCAGAAGTAGTCACAATGCGCCATATCACGACCTGCACTCCTCAGTAACTTCATTAATTCCCTCTGTCAAACTACAACTGGCAGCCCACCTGTCAGCTTATACGATCTGCCACAAACAGGGATAGCACAGCAGACCGATGCAGTTAATGTAAGGCCCATCCAGCGCCCAGCTTTTTCACTGTCGTTTCGGGATCTATTCCCCTATCGGCCTATACTGTCCTATGATTCATTTCTCTTGAATTCAGGTATCGGACCAGATAGGCATAGTTACAGACCTTATCGCCAGCTGCAGAAAAAAACGAACGGGGTGTTTCTTCTTGAGAAAGAGATTCTGACTCCGCTATTACTGTGTGGAAACTCTCCTGTCTTAAACTAATAGTTATCAGAGCTATCAAGCACTCAACTTCATTTTCAAACATCAGATGTAAAGAGTAAATGCATAAACTTATGCTACTGCCGCAGCCTTTCATAGTAGTAAAAGAAGGGCATCAACGGATTAATATAGTTTGATAAAGGAAATTTTCCATTTAATGGCTGATGGCGAACGGCGCCAGCCTCTTCTATAAAGTCAGCTAGTTGCATCCATATTAAAGTGTCTCAGTGGGATACCCCGCAATTCCTCTCTTTTATGTTAAGCACTCACCTCACGTTTCAAGATCCTTTTGTATCTACCACCTCTTAACTCTTAGCTGGCTTGAAATAATTCTCTGGATTCAAAATGCAAGTCGCTATTGGTATTGTCCTAAACGGCCTTATAGGCTTAGCTGCGGCTAGCTATAGCAGCAGCGAATTTGATTGGACGACCATCAGCCCGTCCACGGATCTTGAGTATCACGACTGCTTTGATGACTTCAAGTGCGCCCGTCTGATTGCTCCATTAGACTACAAGAACGATACCGACCCGCGCACTGTCGTTATTGCTATGATCAAGTTGCCGGCTGTGGTACCAGACGACGATCCGGCGTTTGCAGGCTCCATCTTCACTAACCCAGGCGGGCCCGGAGGAGCAGGCGTTGGCTTCATGGTTAGGGCTGGGAAGGGCCTGCGAAATGTCCTCGATAAGCCTGGCCGTCGCCACTACGAGATCTTGTCGTTTGATCCTCGTGGCGTTGGCAACAGCTGGCCTCGCGCCAACTGCTTTGTGCGCGACACGCTCGCTCGTAACGCCATCCTTTTAGAGCTGCGAGGTCACGGTCCCCTCAACAGCGGGGGCGGCAGCGCCGTGCCGTACGTACTTGCGCTTCAAAAGGCTATTGGTCGCCGGTGCCAGGACGCAGAAGAGAGCAATATCAATGGTGGTCAAATCATGGCTTATATGGGCACTCCCAACGTCGCCCGCGACATGGTCCAGATGGTGGATAAGATTGCGGAGCTTCGGGCCCGCGATGCCAGTGCTAGAAAATACCTAAGCTACAATGGCAACGATCAAGAGGACAGGCTAAAGCTAAAACGAAGAAAAGCGAGCCAAGTAGATTACGGTGTTCCTCGGCTGCAGTACATCGGCTACTCCTATGGTACAGTTCTTGGAAACTACTTTGCGTCCTTATTCCCCGGCCGTGTTGGACGAATTGTTCTCGACGGTGTTGTTGATGTAAACGATTACTCTTCAGGACCTGTACGTTACAGCGCAAAACTATAATTGCGATAAATCTTGTATTAGGAGTTGCTAACAGTACTTCAGGGCTGGATAACCAACCTTGTAGATACCGACGAAATTGCCGACCGCTTTTTTAGTGGTTGTCACGAAGCTGGTCCTAAAATCTGCGCCCTCGCCCGCGAAAATGATGAATCATCTTCCTCAGTGAAAAGCCGCTTTTACTTATGGCTGTCTGAGCTAGATAAAAAACCAATTTCTGCAATCAGTCCTACAGGTACTATTGTTGTTGTTAGCAGCCAAGACATTCGCGAGCTGCTCGGGTCGGCACTCTATAAACCGCGGCGTTCATTCATAACCTTTGCAAAGGCACTCAACAATGCCATGGCTGGAGATACTGCCGCCATCGTTCGCAGCCTCTTTCGACGTCATCTTCCTCAACCAAAGGACGTTTGCGCTATCCACAATAGCACTGGCCCAGGCTCAGAAGAATACTTGCCAGAAGGTGCAGCTAGCGTGCTTTGTGCTGATGGTGATAATGTATTGGGATACGATGCAGCCTGGTGGAAGAGATATGTTGACTACCAGGTTAACACGTCATCAATCTTCGGCGCCTACTGGTCTAATATTCGAATAGCCTGCAACTCATGGAACTTCCATCCTAACTGGGTTTTCAAGGGACCTTTCACCACACCCTCAGCAAAGTATTTGGCGTTTGGAGAGCCCGTTTCAGGCCACCCTGCTGCCCCTATCCTCTTCGTATCCAACCGCCTCGACCCTGTGACTCCTCTCATTGCTGCCCGTGCCATGGCCGCCCAGCACCCCGGAGCCGGCCTCGTTGTCACCGAGGCGCTCGGGCACGGAACGATGGGTACCGGCGATAGTGCCTGTCTACATAGTTATATCGCTGATTATTTTGACACTGGAGTTGTGCCGTCCGGTGAAGCTCTTTGCAAACCTGATTGCGATCCCTGGAATAAGGAATGCGATACGGCTGAACTTGAGACTACACCCCAGAATGGCCAAGGCTATAGCTGGGACTATACATTAAGTATTTAATTGTTTAAATAGCAAATATATCTTTCAATAATATATACCTGCTTGTATATATAGGTGCAAGGATATAAATTTAACTATGAAAATATAATATAGTAATAGCAGTTAATATAACCTAAGCAAAAAAATATATTTTTAGGTAAAATAAAAAGAGGATAACTAATGAAGATTTCGCAAGATCTAGAGTCAGGGTTTGTTAGTAAACAAACTTGAGAAAAGCCGATTTAGACACTATATTCCGCCCGTATTTATCTCTTTCCAGCTAGGCCGCAATCACTATTTTTCCTGTGGCTGTAAAACGGCTTTGTGCCAAGTTAGAGGGAGAGCGTTTTTGGCGCTTCACCGACGGCTCCATTTATAACCACGTTTCCACAGATACAGGCGACTGAAAAAGGGTAAAAGCTAAGTAAATATTCAAATGCAAGCCGTCAACCATGGCTCCTCCACTTATAGAGGCTGGAAGTCAAGGTTAGGGTAAACTAGAGTGCTTAACAATTCTACCATAACACAATGGACGTATTGATAAGAATATCACTAGCGCTAGGGCAGGCTGATTGACATATGGGTGAGTCCAATGGACAATAAATTAAGACAAGTGCATAGTCGTAGTATCTTACAGTTGGGGTAACGTCTTTTTTTATTGGGGTCTGGCTGGCAGGCTGGAGAAGAGCACCGTTAGTAGTTGGAAGTATAAAATACAACATTAGGTCGAAGAAAGCGATGTTTGCTAAATTTCATAAAGGGCATTCCTTAAAGCAACAAGTCACACTACAAAACAGCCGAGGTCTACAACTGATATATATTCTCAACTGAACAATTAGTAATATACTAGTTTCTTTCATCGATAAACCTTATGGTTGTAAGTTGTATGAGACCCAGTGAGAGATTGCTGTGTGAATTTTGGTGAGTTTGTATGTTAGTAAAGAAGCTATATTCTTAAGAATTTGAAGTTAATATGAGGTGTGAACTTAGTATATAAAAGTCTTCGTCATGCTGAGAACTCCAAGGATGGACGGCATGTCCTATTTGACCAATTCTTGCATAACCAGAGTGTCAATCCTTAGTTGAGTCAGTGTTGATGTTTACAGTGGGTTGAGAAATATTTAGCTGAAAGAATTGTCGAACATTTGTCATACGTGCATCTGAAAGCCTTCTTGGCGTGCCGGCTTCGGACATGCTCCTTCAGCCCGTTTATGCCTTGCCTCAAACCGCAAAGTGGACATGCCATCTGAGCACTCATTCTATGGATAGCTCGAGATCTAACCATCCTGAGGTTGAGGGGCTGCCTTGATACTTGGGAGATTGTTGGTTGGTTGGAAGGAGCTGGTTTGGGGAATAGCGTCAGCTGAGAGGTGACTGTCGGATTTGATGTAGAAGCCTTGGGGATGAGTGCTGTATCAGTGGTAGTCGCTGGGTGTTGGGAATGAACTGGCTTGATAGAGGCCGGCTTGGTAGTGGTAGTGGGCAGCTTCGGCGTAGCGGTAGGTGCTAACTTGAGGGTAGGCGTCGACCTTAGAATGGGTGCTGGTGTGTAGCCGCTCCACCCCGGCCGACGGCGACGGCTTTCTTTCAACTCACATAGCCGCGCTAACGATCTAACAAGACTAACACGGAGCTGGTGAAGTTTCTCACTGTCAGAGACATCCATAGCGGCTGAAAATAGCTTTGCAGTTTCGGCACGTTAAGGAGCTGGTATCGAATAATCGGTGGCGCAAGGTACTCAAGTGGTCGGACGCCATTTAACTGCTGAGTTATTTCTTCTCCGTGCACAGTGTGGAACTCTTGGAATACCCTAGATAGATATTCTCGGAAGAGTTTTTGCCCTAAATTTCTGACTTGACGTCTGAGTCTGCTATACCGCTTGTGGAATCGTATACCTTTCTTACTGTCTTGTGCCGTGTGTAGAGTCAGCCCTTCTTGCTTGAGTCTTGCTAAAATTTGAAGCTGTCTTTCGTTAAGCTTCATGACCCGCGGATCCTTAGCTATTTCTGCCAACTGCTGCTTAGTGAGATGCCTCGGGGTATCGCTGTGGTGAAGGACACGGCCGAGAAGATAAATTATATCTGACCGCGGTTTTGTCCCGAAAACGATGTACTGTAGGTCGGCTTCTTTAAAGTCGGTCCTATAGTATCGCATATAGATGGAGCTTTTGTGGCCCGTAATGTCGTTGCTCTCTTCTTAGGGAAGTGATTCTTCCGAAGCGAATTAGTGAACGGTACTAAGCTAAAATCCAACAAATACCTACGATGAAGCTTTTTTCCAGTGCTGCGACGCAAATCGTAAAACTCCAGCTGCTTCTGAAACCCCAAAGATCGCCCAAGCCGGACAACTGGCGATTCAAGGTTCTGGATGATAAGTGACTCGTGCGATGTGGTGATGGAGGAAAGATTAGAAGTGACAACTCAGTGCCCCCCTTTGCGCATATCCTAATAACCCGGGATATCATTGAGTTCTACTATATATGATCAATCGGTGGATCGCAATAAATAAAAAAAATCAAACATCTGCGTCTAAATTGACAATCATCACATAACTACTCGCTGTTCTCCGTACGCCGGTGGCAACTCCAACTCCCCGCTCGAGCCGTTCAGCGTCCTCTCAAACGCCATCTCCCTCACCGCCTGGAGCGCCGTTCGCGTATCTTTCAGCTGTCTCTCCTTGTCTCTCAGCTCACCCTCCATGCCCTCATGTCTATGCTGTGCTCCCTGAATCTCCTGCTTGAGCGCCTGGGCGCAGCGTTCCACCTCGAGATTCGACCGCTTGATCTTCTCGTGGAAGTCCATGTCCGAGAAGATGTTGTCAAACAGCACATCGCCCACCAGATTACCGTGGGAGATTTTCACGGGGGGTAGGTCCTTGATTGCGCCGTCCATCCGCTGCGCGTTCATCATGTCCATGCGTGCCTGAGAGATGTGCACCTCGGCCTGTGAGAGGGCATTTCGCTCCATCACGTCGGCCATGGTGCCCCCGCCAAACATGTCAAGGCGAGACGCGGATAGCGCGTCCTGCATGGCGTGCAGGGCATTAACCATGCGCTGTCTCGCCTGTTCCAGCATCCCGATGGCGTGGATCTGGCTCTCCGCACGCATGCGAGCCTCGTGGTAATTCACCTGCGCGGACGTGAAGGCCTGCTCCCGCTCATCCTCCTCAGGGAACTGGGGTGTGGGCCCTGAGAAGATGTCGTTGTAGAGGCTGTTAAGCTCCCGCTGTGCGGTCTTGTGCCGCTCGACGACCGCCTCAAGCTCGGCTGACGCTTGCCGCGCCTGGGCCAGCGCGGACTCGAGGTTCTTCTTCACCTCCGTCTCGCGGTGTTCTTCTTGCAACACGTCGAAGTATTCGCGCTCTTCCTTGGCGGCGCGAGCCTCGAACTTATCCTTCTTGCCACCGATCTTGTACATGAAGCGCCGGACGATGCTGTCACGGTACTGCTCATGCTCCCTCAGCTCGACTAAGTGCTTGCTTTTCAGACTCGCTAGTTTGGCTGCGTTCTTTTTTGCCTGGTTTTCCAAGTCGGCGATGTACATTTTCTGGTTCTCAAAGCCGGGTATGGCATAGTCTGTCATAGACAGGACGCCAAGTAGCTCATGGTTGCGAGTTGCAGCGGAGCGAATCTTGTCTTCAATCGAAGTCATGGTGGCTTTAATGTCTGTGTTACGTTTATTTGAAGCTGTTTGTTGTTTATCAAACCACAAATGGTTTTCCACGGCTAGAAATACAGTACCTGCAGTCTAAAAGTGTTTTAAGCTTGTTTAAACCTCACGCTGATTCTTATCTTCTCCTCGAATCTGCCTCGGACAACCAGTCAAGTCCTTGGTTACCTCCTTGCCCCGCAATGGTAACTTGCAGCGCCACGCTCTAAGGCGGCCTTAGAGGCGTATTAACGCGCTATTGATCGTTAAAGGCGTTGGGTCCGTTTGTCTTGGCGCTGCGCCCCTCTTCGCCAAGAAGCTCCCGAGCTCGCGATCGGATCTCTCTCTGATTCGAGAACAACATAAAATACGCTATGGCAATACGGTAGAGCAGTAAATGACAGTCGGCGAGGCATAACCCTTGCTGCAGCTGACGCTATGTATTTTCACAAATGAAATAAAAGCTGAATTTTGAGGCATCGATGTAGCACTTGGTGACTGAGAATGTGAATGAGACAGGACAGATGAAATTCGTTTGTTTTAATTAGAGGTGAACTTGTAAATGCATCAAATCCCACGAAGTAGGTACTTTTGCGACTCGGAAATCGCTTCCTCAGGTACTAACGGAGGAGCGTTTTTCAGCCTCTCTGATAGTACTCTGTATTCTGTATACTGCACAACTGATTTCTTTCAAGCGCTAGTTCAATTATTTTGTGCTTCAATTTCCCCCAAGCAGGTATTTTTGTCTTATGCCATCAATCCCTGGCAAATCAATTAGTCGCTTTCAAGGTTTTGTGTTTCTGTATTTCCAGATCGATTAACGATAGCGGATCCGTGAGTCTTTGATCGGAAGCACACTACGACTTTATCGGTCTGATGCACTGATACAATGCTGTTGTTATGAAGCCGCCTCCAGATTCAGACGATAACAACTTTATCGATATTTTAAATAACTGACTGCGCGTTGTTTAAACTAGGGGAGTTTGCCTCAGCATCGAGCATTGCATTGCATCTTGGTCAATCTCTGGACGATGTGCTGATATCACAGCATTATCCAGGCTACGAGGTGTTACATAAACAGTATATCTATTTTACCCTTTTATAATATACCTTTGTATTATGATTCCTAAAAGACCGTACTTAACATAGTAGTCGAGATTCTTTGCCAGACAAATAGTAAGCTTGAGGTCAGTTACCCAGAATATTAAATGCTGTTTATGGCTGTTGTTTGGGCTTTACAAGTGGGTTTGAGAAAGAAGCTGTATTCATATCATGATGACAAGATGAAGTCTCTATTATTCTAATAATCTTTTGAGCGTTTAGATCACCAAAGACGAGCTTTTGAATCCCATTAAGCAAGACAGTGTAGAAAATAAACCCCGATACGTCCGAAAATGATTCCCTCAAAGGATATATTTGGAACTATGGAGCATTACCTCCCGTTAGTTTATCTTACTGCAGTCTATTGTACATGTCACTAACATCAAATGGGCCTGATAAGACATGGGAAGACCCCAACTTCATCCATCCTGACACTAAAGCGAAAGGTGACAATGACCCGCTGGGTATCTGTGAGATTGGGGAAAGGGTGGGATATCCAGGAGAGATCAGGCAGGTGAAGGTTCTTGGCATTCTGGCTCTTCTTGATGGCGAGGATACGGATTGGAAGACTATTGCCATTGATATTAAAGACCCTTTAGCGTCTGAGTTCAATGACATCGAAGACATCGAGGTTCACATGCCTGGACTTTTCCGCGCAACAAAAGAGTGGTTTCGCATTTACAAGATGCCAGATGGAAAGCCCGCAAACAAGTTTTCTTTTGACGAGGGGTGCAAGAATAAGGCGTCTGTGTTCCTTCTGAACCTTCCTGTTCCCCTTTGACACTAACTTTCGTCAGCTATGCTACACAAGTTATCGAGAAATGCTCTGATGCTTGGCGTCAACTGATATCGACTCACGAAAACGGAATTGCCGAGTATGTATTACCAAAATATAGGGTATATAGTGGATAAAAGCTAATCTTGTAGCACGAATACGACTATGGGGGAGTCATCTGGCCATGTAACCCATATTGCCCAGGATCTAATTCTTGATTTACCAACTCAACAACAGTCATCTCCAGGCTCAAATGAGAGCTCCATGGATAAGTGGTACTTCATCAATGAGGCTTAACGTAGGCCTCTTACTATAGGAAGAATTGAAATCTAAGATCTAGATTTTTCTGCCATGCCCAACACAGCAACAGTGAAAATTAATCATTGTGTCGGGCCAGTGAATTTACAAAGCTGAAACTAATCATTGACATAGTTCCCATACGAGCTTCAAAGGTGGCAGTTCTGAGCTGTACAAGAGATTTTGCTATGGAACCGCTATAGAATATCTCAATGGAATTATTTGTCGCCGAGAGTGGAGGCAATAAAAACCTTTCCCAAGGATCAATCTCTAATCTTGCATTTCCCAATTAGCACAATGCGTGATATATGCCGGATATAGCTGCATACTGGAGGTGTGAAGCCATCTATCCAACGCACGCAATCCTCCCATAATGGCAACCAGTATGACAAGAGACACTAGCACGCTCGCTGTCCCATAAATATACGAATGGAATCGGCGGAGGCTGTTCAACTCCGCCACTCAAGTAGAAATTGTTGTGAGGCACCCACAGAATCCATCTTCTATTCCCTGTAAAACTTGGCAGCCAACTATGCCTACGGAAGCGCTGTGAGTAATATCCCACGACATGCCAAGGACTGCAGTACCGAGCACGTTAGCCAGGAACGTTCCCAAAGGAAATGATGAAACCTTTCCATTGAGGTATAACGAGAGGTAAAACCTGGCTAGACATCCAACGGGAGCGAATACAAGCGCAGAGGCCTTCTCACTCCAATTTATGTCCGGTGGCATTATGGATAATACGGTAACACCAACCCAGCTGCCCCATGCAAGAACAACAAGGACCCTGTCCAAGAACTTTCGAATAAGACGAAAAGGGAGAGGCGGGATACACTTTTCCGTACCGATAGCTAAATGTGCGCCATGATGTAGAGCTGATAAGGTCAAGCAGACCGTAGTGATGATGACTGCTAGCATTGCTATGAATGAGTAACTTCCAGATTGTTGTGTGGTGGGCAATTCAAATTCATTGTCTGATAGAGCCAACAATACATCTCTTATGAAGGTTGAATAGCTTGTAAAGCTGCCGCAGAATCCGGTTGTGAATCCAATATAAAGTGGGATTGTCTTTTTGGTAGATAGTTGTGCTTTTTTCGCCTCGCTTAGATCCATAACAGTCGTAGAAGAGCTCGATCCACTTTCTTCGTCCATCTCTGATCTTCTTGCTCGAGCCAATTGTTCGTCGTATGTTGCTGTGCCCCATTCATGGCGGAAGAGCATGCGATCTTCGGCAAGAAAAGCCATGATGAAACTCCCTCCTGTTCACTGCCAGCTCCTCTAGATTTACCCAAGCCTCAGGCATGTCGTAGGGTTCTTCATTCAGCGACTCATTCTCATTCTGGCCCTCAGCTGGGCGGCTTGTTCATTTAACTGAGGTTGTATAGCTTCCAGCCGAGCTATAGGGAGATTACAGAGCCATTCTCATCAATCGGAAGAGGTATCATAAAGCTCGATACGCAATGACTTAAATCGAACAGTTGTTCTAGAAAGAATTCTAAACAAGCTGCTTAAGGTGCAAATGCTCGACTGGTTTGTTTATTCGCGAATTTCGAGTTTCGTTGTCTTGTGAAGCTTCAACTTCCGTGGTATAGAATAAAAGACTGGGAATGAAACAAAGCATCAAGGATAAGTGCGACTGTTAATGGCTTGGTTTGAAGAACTTGCGCACTAATACCGACAAACTCGAAAGAAAGGCAGTACAGGTAGTGTCTTGTTTCCATGGCGGAGGGTTGCCTTGGTAGGCCGATGCTCGGTCTTTCGATCATCGGATTAAATGTCTCTTAACCCGGATCAGGTTGCCGCAAAGCAGCAGACATCATCCCAATCAAACTAATCAGTAGCCGAAAGGCGGGCATATTTGCTTGGCCTGGAGAGAAAGGGAGGGAAAGAGGCCTGCCTCCTTTTCCTGCCTCCCAAACACTGCAATTCGGAATCTATCTTTTGGCCGAGAAGAAAATGCCCAGTACTGCAACAAGCTTTCTATAACCAGTATATCCGATTTTAGTGAGGAGCTATTACAACCTTGTATATTCTTTTACTGAAAATAGGCAAGGGGATCTTCTTTCTGCTTAAGGCCTTAATAAGGTGGTGCTGAGACAGGCCGGGTATAGCGGATATACTACAGGCAGTGGGTAACTGCTTTGCTGCTGCAGCAATGACCAGAAGTTGGTGACGTCATGTAAAAGTTAAATTATAACTTGCTATATGTACTCAGTGCATTGCCTGACCACAAGAATAGATCATTTTGATATCCAAATACGACAATACTACAATTTATGCAAGTACAAAGGCCGTCATGATTGAATCGATCAAGGCAGCAGAACGACTCGATTCCCGGGGGAAGCCAACTGTGCAAGTAGCAGTCACCACATCCCATGGTACGTGATTCAAAGACGGCGCGCAAGTGATTCCAACTCATGCTACAAGGTACCTTTTACTCCCTTGTTCCATCGGGCGCATCGACTGGAAAACATGAAGCTCTAGAGCTTAGAGATGGCGATATGTCGCGATATGGTGGGATGGGTACCACCCGAGCCGTCGCCCACGTTGAGACTTTACTGGGACCAGCTCTGGTTGAGCAAAAATTCGACCCAAAGACACAATTGAAGGAAATCGACAAATTTATGAAAGAGCTGGATGGCACTGCTGATAAGTCTAGGCTTGGAGCAAATGCCATCCTCGGAATTAGCATGGCATGCGCCAGAGCGGGCGCTGCGGCCAAGGTGTGTCATTGAAACTCTCTCTTCAGCTATGAATGCTTACACTTACGTGTAGGGTGTCCCCTTGTATGAGTTCATACGACAGGAAGCTGGACTTGAAGGCCCATATGTTGTTCCAGTTCCGTTCCTCAATGTTTTGAACGGAGGGGTTCACTCTGGAAATACCATGGCGTTCCAAGAACTTATGATTGCTCCTACTGGAGCCGAATCTTTTGCAGAGGGGATCCGTTTGGCTGTGGATGTCTACTCTGCACTTAAAGCAATTATTGCAGACCGTTTTGGTGCTCCAGGTGAGAGAATAGAATATACATATTGGAACAAACTTGGCTAATATATCACCCAGCAACTGGTATTGGTGATGAGGGTGGGTTCGCACCTCCGATCTCGTCTTTGGAGGATGGACTTGACTTGATGGTAGCGGCCGTTGAGAAAGCGGGGCATACAGGACGCATCAAATTTGCCTGTGACCCTGCATCTTCGGAGTTTTTTGATAAAGAATCGGGCTCATATGACCTTTCTTTTAAAGACAAAACATCGAATGACGTTCGTGCTTCAAAAGACATGCAACAGCTATATAAAGCTATTATTGCAAAATACGGCCTTGTTTTACTTGAAGACCCGTTTGCGGAAGATGACTGGTCAAGCTGGACAGAATTCAATCGCGACTGTACAATTGAACTGGTTGGAGACGACCTGCTTTGTACGAATGTGGAGCGCATGAAACTTGCTTCGGAGAAAAGAGCATGCAACGCATTATTATTGAAACTCAATCAAATAGGCACAGTATCAGAAGCTATAGAAGCGTGAGTCATATCTTGTGTCGAATTGGAACAAAAAAGCTGATAGGTCACTTATAGCGCTAACTATGCTTTCGAGCTGGGATGGCGTGTTTTTGTGTCGCACCGATCTGGGGAGACAACAGATGACTTTATCGCTGACCTGGTAGTAGGGCTTGGAACAAGTCATATTAAGTCAGGAGCTCCAGCTCGCGGGGAAAGAATCGCCAAATACAATCGACTTCTTGATATCGAAGCTGACTTGAAAGAGCAGCTTAAGCATGTGGTTTATGCAGGTCCCAGCTTTTAATTGGATGCACCTCTGGATGTATAACTATTTAATTTAGTATTAATATGCAATGAATGGTTTTTTGTTCCAGTATATTTAGCTAGCAGAGAGCATGTGCTTAAGAACGTATAAAAACCCTTTCTTAGGTTTTTCTGCAGGCGGATTTAGAACAGAGAGCAGGCGGACACTATTTTACAAGCGGCTTTATTTCTAGTACCTAGGTAGCTAACAGTCCTATGTCTACTGTTTTTAGGAGGCAATAGTGGCCGAAAGTAACTTGGAAATCTATGCTACAACTAGCAATTAAACGCCAGTGTCAACTGGCAAAGCAGCCTGGCAAAACACTGCCCAAAATGAAAATTACTAATACTTTTTTTCCGCTTAGTAAAAAAAAATATACAATGAATATATATTTTGCTAGGGGTTTACTTATTTAAGTACTGTTGAATTAGTATATAAAAGGCTTTGAACTTATATAAATATATTAATAAATGTATATTTTTTTATAATATATAAAATACTTTAATTATTTAAAATTATTATTTTTATTTAATTAACTGTTATAGATTAACTAAGCCCAGAGCTCTTTGATTCAGTGTATCCGGAACCTTCGGATTATACGGAAGAAATTCTGTTGACGTCCCGTTAATGCTGAGGCCATATCCTATTTTATTGGTGGGATTATCAGATTATATGACATTAAGAATGGTGGCGGGATAAATTAGAAAAGACGCTATACACCCATTTGGAAAATGCGTTGTTGTTTTTTAAGAGCGAGACCCTAAATGACACCAAGTTGTAGATCACTAATAAGGATACCCCAGCTATACGAGAGGATATAACTAGGTATATTATTTCATGTCGCAGTAAGGAAGCAAATCTTAGTGGGCCCTAATGTTACGAGAAGGAAAAGCCTACTGAAACGAAATACACTGTTTCAGGAAGGTCCCTAATGTTACGAGAAGGAAGAGCCTACTGAAACAAAATACACTGCTTCAGGAAGGTCGAAACCTGTAATTTTTTAGCTAGTACTAATAGCTTTAGGTCAAAATGCGTTCTTCAGCTGCCATTATTGTCCTCAGTGCCGGCTAAGCTCTTGCTAGGTTTATAAAGTGCATGAGCAGCAATACCCCCGGCGACCAGTTTCCAATTCCGCAGCACAACGTTACATATCAAATTGGCAGCGTAGTCTACACATGTGACTTTCTCGCCGAAGATTGCGGGTAGATAACCGTTAGTTCCTGGCAGACGACTTTCATAACGTACAAAAACTTGTCAAATGGTAAGTCGCAGAGGACCGCTTTCTGGATTACATCAGATGGATGGTATAACATCAACGCTAATGGGCAGCATGCATTTTGTTGCGGGGTGAAGTTATCTAGTAAAGATGGAGGTCAATGCTCTATTTCTCAGTAGATGTCATACTGAACGTGAGTGCGCTCAACCTCGGAATTGCCGCTACGTGCATAAGCCTATCGTGCTTTCTTGTTAGACAATTATGTGGATTGAAGTCCTACGGGTTTTCAAGCTTGTTTCCCTCCTGCCGTAGAGTGAGAAATCTCCTTGTCTCGCACCTCTTTAGCCTCGTGCGCACAAATAAGCAATTACTAGCAAAGCTGCGTGTCAAGTGCTTGCTGCCTTCAGAGCCTATCATAAATGAATCCTTCACGTTCAACATATTGAAAGGTTATCTGGGGCGAATTACCTCCCTGACGTTGTGAAGGATTCTATGAGGTTAGTAACAGCAATAGCTAGGTGATAATGCCAATAGAATACGTGAACAATCAATAATATATATTCTGGGTTTTGATATAGGGTAGTGCTAGCTCTTCATCCAGCCAGGAGCGTACCACGAGTTAACGCGTTTCACAGTACCCTGCTATTGGGCCCCTAGATTGTCAATAGTCCCGCTACAAGGTTTCATTGGCACCAGGGGTGACCCCGGTGTGGTTCATGTGGAAAGACTTTTTCCGATTGTGTGGCCTTGCTCATTGGTGTATAAATTAGAACTTGGCTCCATGGGGCGATCTGCCGGAGGCTTTTCGGTGGTCAGTGAACCTCCCTCCTCGCCCCCGCATAAGCGTGGAACGTCGTGGGGGGGAAAGGCTGGAATCAATTCTACAAGCTCAATCCGTTGCTTCTATAAGTGTATAAAGGTTAATGCCGCCCTCGTGAAAGAGCGGTATCTATCTCATCAAACCAACTTTTGCTCGGTCTAACCTTCGTTCCACTGTCATAATGCTCATCCCAAAGTCTAATATGGCCATTGTTGCCATTACCCTTTTTTTCTCAGCTGCTTCCGCCTTGAACCCATCCTGTGCTCCCGGTGGCAATTTTGACCTCAGCAAATTCGTTCTTCAGTTGCCAAGCGGCAGCACCAACAATCCAGATCAAATCCCCGCCTCACGCCTCGAGGGTTGCGGTGGCTACCAAGATCCTGGCCACCATTACTTCTTCACCGAGTCTGGTGATGGTGCCATGGTCATGAAGGCTCCTGGAGGAGGAAAATGTGCTACCTTCCCGGGTGCACCGCGCTGCCGCTCCGAATTTGGCGAGACTAATTCATGGAGCTCTAGTGCTCCAACCAACCGCTTGACGGCTGATCTCCTCGTCACCAGTGGTAGCAGCATCTGCATTGGCCAGGTGTTCCAGTCAAACTCCAACAACAAGCCTCTCGTAAGTCGTGTGAACAAACCACTATGCATCAATCATCAATTATGTTGCTAACAAATCCAGGCTGAGGTTTACTATAGCAGCAATGGCCAAATCACAGTCGGTGTTGAGTTTGTTGCAACCGGGGGCCAGGGCCAGGACTTGAACAAGATTGGCACTGTCTCTCCTGGCAGCCGATTTCATTATGAGATGCGCTTTGAGAGTGGTACGCTCCAATTCTCTCTTAACGGTGGAGCATTTAAGACCCTGAAGCAATACTTCACTACAGACAGGGCCTTTTTCAAGATGGGCAACTATAATCAAGGTGGCGACGACTCTGATATTCATGTCTTCGGTCTCACTGTTCAGCACTAGATATGCCCCGTTCAATAAAAGAACTAGAGCTAAACTAAGTGGAAACACAGTACTCAGCCGTTAAAGAATTACATAAAGTATACTGTTATGAACCAGCAGCCCATTAGCGCCTTTTTTTTTATTAATACTTTTTCTAAAAGTAATATACTTTTTCTTTTATTACGTAATTTAGCAGAAAATATTAAGTAAATTTAACTATTATAATAATAACTCACTATCTAATTACTTTAAATAAATAAAAACAAGTATATATATAATATAAAGCTTACTTAAGCTTACTTACTTAAAAATAAGCCAGTTACTTAAATAGGAAGTGGCTTACTCTGGTTTACTTATATATAAGTAAGCCTAACTACTAATTAAACCGTCGGTCCGTTGTAATTCTAGGGCGCCTACCCTGTAAGCCCATTGTTACAACCATATAGGCGTTGGGTCGTGACAGACACCCTACTGTACTCTATCGGATTTTTACTAAGAGTGGGCTTAGCCTTTAGTGGAACCCAGCCTATTACTATGCAGAATAGTACCTATGTAGCCGTAGCGCCATAGGCTAGCTTAAGCTGCGAGATATAGCTAGCAGGCTGCTTCAGCCTCGAACTCTATGAAGGTGGTAATAAAGGCATTTCCGAAGACTGATCTAATGCAGTGTGAAGCGGCATCGGTGGGGAATAGCAACAATAAGTCAGCGAAAGCCTTCACAGGAGAGGAAGAGGAAGATAACTCGAACCTCTCCTTATGCACTGCTATTTTCCGAGAAAGCAACTTTAGAGACTGGCTTATAACGCTGGTGTTTACTGGGGTTATTATATGCTTCTTTAACCCTACAGCGGCACTCTTATGTCTCTTTAACTCCCGCTTCCCCTTGTGTTCTTATTTTAGGAACATAAGTCCGCAAAATATAAAGGCGGAAACTGGTGCTAGAGTATATGGATTGGAGAATATATTGGAGGACTGGAGCTTGTTAATGCCCCAAACTGACATCCAGGTTACACGTATTCTTTCTGATCGTCTTAAGGTAAACGTTGCTTTAGCTCTCTCTGGTGCCGGAGCTGTTATGTCCGACGTCAGGTCATGTTGCTTTGAATGCGCATTGAAAGAGCTCAGAAGGGAACCTAGAGAAATTAGCCCGCAACGCATCATTAGGGCACGGTTACGTGATCGGGCTTTAACTAGTTGAACACAAATCGTTTCCGTTTAGGAAGTGCTTTTTCATTAAACCTCAATACACAGGTATTTACACAGTACTTGACAGGTCAGAATGAATGTGCACCTACAACACTCGCCAGGCTGGGTCCGATCATCGAGCCGGGTGGATAAGAGAGTATGGGAGTAATAGTTGATCAAAGCAAAGTAACAAGTTATCTAACCCGCTGCCTCCATTATGCCTTTCTGTTCACAGTCCAAGTCATTCATTGCTACACGTCCACCGCTCGAAACTGAGCCGATAGATAGTGCTGGGAGTCAGAGACATACAGCAGAATTCTCCACGCCTCTATCTTTAGACCGATCTTAAAGTATTGATGACCAACCCTCCTGTCGAATAAACTCCTCAATAGTCCAGAAGGGGGCCCCTATCCTAAGCTATTCAATTGCATCATTAGCCAGGAGTTTGGGAAAGTAGTGAAAGTCTTCACGTCAGAACGGACGCTGGGGTCACCGTGATTTGCAAAGTCTCCAATGTATTCGTACATATCGGCGAGCTCCTCCACAACGCCGCTGGGAATCGCATTTTCGATGACCTTGCGATCCAGTGGTGGGAAGCTACATTGTACACAGTGGACCTTGCCCCACAAAGCGGCGTACTCGTTCCAGCTCAAAAAGCCCGAAGCACCAGGAAGGCGTTTCCCGGGTTCAACCTGGGTGAGCGCCTTGACGAACGAGCCTGTAGAGCCCTTTTAGTTGTGCGTTCTCCCAAATTGGTGAGATGCTTACCAGTGTCGTGGCGCGCAATAACTTGCGATACTGGGGCGTCAGGGTTTCCAGGGAGACTCTAGACGTATGTGTTGTCGGGTTGCTACCGCCTGGTTAGTGTTCGATCTTGACATCTCACAGCGACACCAACTATGCGTCACACTTATAATAGTGGGGGTGTGGTGGATTCACCATATTACGCCTCCTAGCGGAGAAAACTTCCAGTTCTCAAGATACAAGGCCACCTGCAAATAGAACCTTTTCTTCTCCAGGGCCGAGTACTTACCCTTTAGGTACTCGACCGCTTCCCATTTAGTATTAAAGTGAAAGCTATACGTATACTTTCCCTTGCTTAATTTCGTAGTGGGAGAGAGCGTTAAGAGCACGAATCTGTTAATGGTCTCCAGAGTCGCAGACTGCGTCAACAATGTTGCGAACTTGCTGCACTTCGAGGTCGTAGGCTAGCACATTGACGGGGCGGCCAGACTCTTGAGCTCGCTTTTGGGACTCTGGATCGGCGACGATTCCCCAGAAGTCAGCAACTCCAAATGCCACAGTTGATCCTGCAAATGCGGCTTTCAAGGAGGCAGCGTCGTTCAAGTTCGCTTTGACAAGTTCGACACCTTAAACAGCCTATGACTGGCTTGCTGACTTGGTTGGATCGCGGTAACGCCACGGACGTGCCAGCCTCCCTCTTGGAGGAACACGTCGGCAATAGAAGCGCCCTTTTGCATCAAAGTTAGCAAGAGTTTTTGCCACCGGTCCTATGCAGGGCCGCCACACTACATCACATTCTCACCTGCTTTCCAGTAATGCCCACCAGCGTGGTAATCTTGTTTGTCATATTGATTTATTAAGAGAAGTTTTAAGATAATTTTCTTATAGAATACTAGAACAAGAAACAATCAGCAGGTATTTGTAGAGGTTCCGTCTTCTCGCCTATACTATTATAAACGCCACTTGAGATTTCTATTAGTAGAAAGATTAAAGAGACATAATATAAGGTCATGAGCTCTTAAAGAATTCCTCCAGATTAAGCATCGCATTAATAAACAGGAGATATCCCACCAACGGTACTAACCATTACATCAATGCGGATCAAATCAAGGCCCCTTACTCGGCGCTTCTGAGTTCAGCTCACTGAAAGAGGAACGGTAGGTTAAGTAAAGGACCTATCATAACCAATCAACATATATCACAACCCCCCCGCATGTTACTCTAATAGCCTATTGCATATTAAATCATTCCCCTAGTTCATAAATGATCTAGACGAAGGTTAGCGGCCAATGCTAACGGCGTCTTATTACTCCGCATATTACACCTCCAATCTATTCCCCGCATCCTTCGTAAATCGCTTTATTATTAAAGTAGTTATGCTACGCCCTTTCTTTAACAATAAGACCTAAGAATATAGACAGAGTGCAACAATTTAGTAGTGATGTTGAACTGAAGATAAGCATCTAGGGGCATATGTTGTTGAAAATCAGCCAGGCATTCTAAGGTAGCGAGAACTCCTTAATTCGAGAAGTTCTGGCGAGATCATTTTATTATAAGGCAGATACAAGTATCATAAAGTGCAGCTTGGTAAATGCAGCCGGAAGAAACTACAAACACACTCATGTATAATCGACCGAGGATTACTCCGATGGAGGCGAAATCATATGCACCTTGGTGCCGATGACCCGACTCTACCGTATGCAACAACTTGGAATTACCATTTGATCCTCTCAACGTTTTGACTATAAGTACCATCACACCGGCACTACTTTCCTCTCGACTCAATTAACAATCCTCATCATTCATCAAAAGAATAGTAAGACAGACGGCTTAGACCCTATACCCTACTTACAAATATGCATTTTTCCACGGTTCTTCTCTCGCTTTTTGTCGGTTTCTCGCTTGCCTCCCCGGCTGCTGATCCCAACCCTGCCGCTGATCCCGGAACCCCGAACCTTCAGCCTCGGAAGTGTCTGACAGCTAAATCACATGGTATGCTTACCTGACCTCTAGGTTCTGCTGGTAGATATTCGTAGCAAATATACTAACTGGTGTCTAGCGGATTGTGTTAGTAAATGTTGCAAACAAGTGGGTTGCAATGGGTATTTATACTGCGATCAGTCTAATGTGAGCCTGCTGTCTTTAGCTATTGGTGTTTTTAAATTAAACTAACTTTATTTAGTGGGATGACTTTGATAACTGCTGCACCTGCCACTGCGTATATGATTAAGGTTTTACTTAATTATAATATACTATAGTGTTAGTACCTATAAGGTAGATTCTACTTATATGAATAAAGTATTAATACTTTACAATTTTCATTATTAGTACTATTTAAGTAGAATGAAGAATGGAAAATAATATTTATATTAACAAGGTATATGTAGTGCAGATATATGAGCCACTCCTGACAAGCCTTGGCAAAAGTACATTACCCGCAGCTCCGACTGCAACTGAACCAGAATTAGATGAAGATATGTCATCATTAATATTGTATGGTACCTGACGCGAGCATGGCGGCAGCAGCGAGTACATGAGTGGAATGTTCACTTTCTTGAGATGTCAAACGCGTTCCATTTTGCTAGCCTCTTCCAATCTGAGTGCAGTGAGTTGGTCACTTTTCGGGACGCTGCCTTCAACCGCATGATGCGCCTTCTTAGAGAACACTTCCCGCCGCCATTGCCCCTGCAGATTGCAGAAGCTAGCATGTGGCCGCGATTGACTCAGGTGCTCCCACACGTTTTAAGTGCTCTAAAAGCCTTCGAGCGAGCATCTCCAAGTATGACTGGCGACATGTTTTTGGCCGAACTGTTATGCGCTGGCCATCATGGGCATTTGCACCGACTTCATGGCCCTAAGCAAACGCCAGGAATGACTGAAGATTCGCGAGATGCAGCAAAAGATACGGAAGCTGTGCTTTGCAAACATCCCTCAGGATAAGGTGACCTATCACAACGAGGTCCGTCTGTACAACAGCTACACGGACTTGGTTTGCAGCCAACATCTGTTATTGCTGTCGGGTTAGGTTTAGGTGGGGCAGATTTATAGTCCTAGTGGACTTAGTCGTTTTTTTCTTTAAGTTTTACTTACTAAAGGCACTATTATAATAATATTCCAATATTATTTTAATTATTTCTAATAGTATAACTAAAGATATAAAAGGGTTAAATAATAGGCTTATAGTAAAGCTATAGTAGGTTTATAGATGGGTGTTGTTGTCAACATCACCGACCCGCTATACAAGACTAGGGAATTTGTTGACGGTGGCTACACCAACAGAGAAATAATCATAAAGCTTGTTTGCAGCCCCGAGCCCGAATACATCACGGGAAGAAGTCAAGGGAAGCAAGCTTGTGCTGAAATTTCCATCCTCCTTATGCCTGGTAGGAGTTCACTTCCTCATTATTTTAAGGCTATCTGAACCTTTTCCAAAGTCCAAGATGGATATTTATTATAGTTAGCTACTGGATATTTCTGTTATGGTTAGTATTTTCTCCATATAAGGTCAAGGAATAGCGTTTCTGCCCGCTCTCTTACCTCCAGTTAACATCTGAAGTGGATAATAACGCCGCTTTAATATCAGCCGTGGCCTGAGCAATTTCAAAATTCAAGGCATTCCTGCAAATTCTGTGCCGGGGGCAGCTGATAAATCCAGTAAACGCCATTGCTGAATACACTGCTGCAATACACCCAACAGCTTATCGAGCCGCTGCCCTGCGTATTTGCTAGGCATGTCGAGAATGCTGTGGTCGTAGATTCTGCGTAGGGAGACCAGGTGAAACTCCATGGTGCTAGCATCTGCGAGTATCTGAAGTTTCTCATGCAAGTTCGGTTGTTGAGTCGGAGCCTTCCATGAGCTTTTGAGGCTTTCCAGGGCCACCTCATACACTTGGATGACGTTGCTGACGACAGAAACAACCAGGAGTAGGCATGGCGAAATATTTGCCCCACCAAATATACTAGAACGTTGGCCTTGAAGCCGCGAAGTAATTTCACACAGTGAGGACACAAGACAGCTAATAGACTCAAACCATTTGTGACCACCTATCTTGTGCATTTCTCGTGGCGGCCTTTCCGTGTTTAGAGCGAATAGTATCCTGGATAATTGTTCATATATTTGCACCAGGCTGCTAGATGACTCAAGTGAATGTGCAGGACTGACGTCAATGATTGAAGGTACAGGGCTCAACATTGGATGCATTTCAATACTTTCCGGTTGCAAGAGCCAGGTGGGGTTATTGGTCGATTCACAGCCAGTTGTTGGCGATTCAGCACTGGAATAACCTGTATCTGGATTTGAGAATGTAGGTCAAATTGGGTTGCGAATCATGGAGTTGTCGAGTAACTCGCATAACGGTGTATCACTACCCACAGACAAGAGTTAGTATGTCAAAGCGGTTCGTTGTGTGGAACTATTGGCTTTCACTTACAGAACTGTCAGACGGGACATGTTGTAGACACTGTTACTCCCCAAAGAGGCATCTTGCCGTGAACCGTGGTCCTTTGGCGTGAAGTCTTTGACGCATGGTGCAGATCCACGGGCTGATCCACGGCGAGGCCGTCCCATCACATGCCTCGGCGAGAAAATACAAGTTTGGCCACTCTGGCGACAGTGTTCGCAAGCCCCGCCGGCTGCAGCCACACAGCGTGTTTTGCGCCGGTGACAATTGTCACACGCTACCCTCAAGACGGGGTACATAGGAGTGCGAGATGGCGGTCACCAGTTGAGATGTGTAAGTAAATAGAACACCAATATGCTCTCATGGGGTAGATAGGCACAATGTCGTGATTAATACCACATCTCTGCCTGTTAATTTTCGTTGCGCCTTCTCCATTATCGACCGGGGCGCTTGCCAGTGCCTATAGTGGAGTGGATACAAGATGTAAAAGGATCAGCATTGACGAATAAGCAAGTCGCATCATGAGAGGTTGGAAACATGCACTGTAACCCTTTGACGAGGCTTGTGAGTTCAATCTCTTTCTGGGACTCTGGAAACGATGGTGGGGTGGTTTGCAGTTTTCCGTCTTCGAGGAATCTGTAACCGACCGGGGGCTGGAATGTGCGACGATGACACATGTTTAGGCTAACCAATTAATCCCAACCCCTGTCATTATAAATGTACTTATTTTTTTCTCAATGCATGCAACACCCTAAACGAAACATGTTGGCTCAATGCAACGGAGTGAAGGCAGTCCTTAGTAAATAACTATATTTTTATGCTTAGGTACTGGAGAATTATTATTGTGGCCGACGGCAAAGATTCCTAAGAACTAGGACCGAAATGGCCCTTTTGTCCATAGCCCGGCTCTTTTGTCACTGGGGTCTCAATCCTTTTCAAGTTGACTTGGCATGGAGCACACTCAATCCATTTGCACCCCAGACAAAATCCGAAATTTTATATTTTGTTGGTTCCGGCTAATAAGCAGGTACTGACTCCGAGGATGCCGCATGCATAACGGAACGGTCGCCTAAACGGTCTAATCGGCTACTTTCATCCAATTGAAAGTTCATCCCACGGCGACTGTTACCTACGTTATCAAAGGTTGGCCATATGCGTTAGACATCTTACCTGTGAGAGTCAAATCAACGCAAACTACGCGAAAGATGTGCTTTATCACATCTTATTTAGAACTCAGAGCCCCTACTAGGCTATCTTTCATAAATATAAGGTGATGACAAAGATACAGAAAGCGACCAGCTGTCACAATATACTCTTTTTTGCATTGCTTGTGGCTGCCGTTGTCGCAGAGTCCCCCCTACTCCTAGAAGCAAGCTGAGCTCAAAGCCTTCTCAAATATGAAGACCGCCTCACTTCTCACCGTTTTCTCGTATTCTTTGGCAGCTGCGGCGCCTCTGGAGGCCCTCGCTGCCAAAGGGCCGTTGATCCAAGATCGCAGCGCGCTTGAACGACGTAACTATTTCGCAAGTTCATGCAGACATTGGAATTTGAATTCATACTACTCAACCTTTCTGAACGCACAATGTTGGAACACTCAGGGGCAGCTAGTTGGTAATGTTTTCGATTTGGATAGTTGCATTGCCAACTATGGGGGTCACTTGGCATATGCTAAGAAGTGAGTTCGCTACCTTTTGAGAGTGGTATAATTCATAGCAAAAAGCGTCTGGCCTGTCGTGCAGTTTGTGTCCACACTAACAATTCGGCTACTTAGTGGAAGATACAGTTTCTCTTGCGACAAGAGAGACTGTGCTATTGTCGATAGTACGTGGTTCCAGTGCAATTGCAAAGGCTACTCGGGAGAGACTGTATTCTCGAAGATTAACCTGAGTAAGTTGACTCACCGATAGTAGGGATGTCCGGGAGGCTTCTGGAAACTAATTCAGTTCACAGATGACATCCTGACTAACGACAATGGAAATCTGAAATGTTAGTCAAATTCCAGCACACTAGCTGAGTGGCGTTTAGCAATGTATATCAGGCAACATGGCCTCTAGATCCTTCCAATAAATTAAAAGAGTAACAACTTATGGTGACCCAAGAAGTGATGCCCTTTTTCACGGATATTCTCGGCTATTTTGCTGCCTTAATCTCGCATTAAGCTGCATGCGACCGTTATTGGATTTGCGCAGCAAGAAAACCCAATTTCAAAATACTGCTATGCCAAGGTTTACTTGCTGTTGGTTCACTTGCTGTTGGTTCAAAACCGCAGCACCTTTGTCGGTGTTCTCATTACTACCCAAACGGTTGCAGGCCCACATTCGGGGCACTTCCCCCTCTAATCAGCCCGAAACCTCACTATGATCTAGCCGTTAGATTGCACAACGTGCCTCTACTGCTCTAGGCTCCGCTTTATCAAGCACTGTTACCTCGTTCTGCACATCACCACCCGCGCGAGCCTCATTGCTGGCTTCCCGCACAGCCCGGACAATTACTACTATGCCCTCTTCAGTCCCGCCATCGGGGGCCGCATCTCTCAGCATTGGGGCGGCCGCCTTTTCTGACCCATAGGACCGTACTCAGAATACTACATTCGGTAACATTTTTAGTAGCAAATTTCGTAGTGTTAACAATGCTGCACAAATGGTCGTACGAAATACAACCTATATGATGCATAGCCAAGAGCTCAAAACGTCCCTAGGCGATGCAGTTGGTTCTCATCGCCAGATAATCTTGCAAGTAGACTATCATCCTGCAGGATCAGCAAACCATTATTAACGGATGCTTGGCATTACGTACCAAGGTACAGTCCATCCTGTAACTCTCATATTGGAGTGATACCGTTAACGTTGAACCTAAGACTGGTCACGGATGGCCGCGTGTCAAGTTCCCCAAGTTTCTTCTTTTTTTGCCTTATAGCTGAGATTAACCCTCTATTCCCCTCTTCGATCAAACATTATCAACTCTTTGCCCCAATTCCACTCCTTTGCGGTTTTTCTAACTGACGTTCTGGGCCATTTGCTCTTATTCTAATTCACTGTCACTCGTTTTCTCTCGCATTTTTCTAGTTTGCCGAAGCTGGGTGTTGAAAATGTTGTTCAAGAGGCTTCTCTGGTCATTTTTCGTCTTGGGGGCCACCGTTGTTGCCGACCTTCCTCCGATTAAAGTCAAGGTGTGTTCCAGAGTCCTGTAACAATATGAACCCAGAAATAAATTCATGACGGTTAATTAGGGGTCGAAATTCTTCTTCGAGAACGGAACGCAATTCTTCATAAAAGGTATAGCATATCAGCAAGATACCGGCGCGGCAGGCGCCACCAGCACAAAGACGACCAAGTGTGTCGATCCTCTATCTGATGAAAAGATCTGTCAGCGAGATATCCCCTTGTTGAAAGAACTCGGGACAAACACTATTCGAACCTACGCCATTGACCCGTCTGCCGATCATTCGGCCTGCATGGAGCTACTGCAAGACGCTGGCATCTACGTGATATCGGACATGGGTGAGCCCAGTCTCTCAATTAACCGTGACAATCCGCAGTGGAACACAAAGCTATTTGAGCGTTATCAAAAAGTTGTTGACGAGCTCGCGAAATATCCTAATGTAATTGGCTTTTTTGCTGGTAATGAAGTTAGCGATAAAAACAATAACACTGATGCCTCAGCCTATGTTAAAGCCGCAGTGAGAGACACAAAGAAATATATCAAGAATCATTCTAACATCAAGCGATGGCTTGGTGTGGGATATGCCGCTAATGACGACAAGGACATTCGAGACGAGATTTCCAGCTACTTTAACTGTGATAAGCAAGAGGATTCTATTGACTTCTGGGGCTATAACATCTACTCTTGGTGCGGGGAGAGCAATATCGATCGCTCAAGCTACAGTAGACATGCCGATTATTTCAAGACCTACTCTGTACCCGTGTTCTTTGCAGAGTATGGTTGCAACGAGCCTGGTGGCGCCGAAGCACGTATTTTCCAGGAAACCAGTGCCCTATACTCGGACAAGATGTCGAGCGTTTTCAGCGGCGGCATTGTTTATATGTACTTCCAAGAAACAAACGACTACGGTAAGCAATATAACTCCAGGCCTCACCTGCCCGTTTTGTGATCCAACTAACCATGGCCCAAAGGACTCGTCCAGGTCAAGGATAGACAAGTCACAAGAATGAAGAACTTTGAGGCATTGAAGAAGCAAGTAGTCAAGGCTGATCCCAAGGGCGTTTTTATGAGTGACTACTCTCCGTCCGGAAAAATGGGTGAATGTCCGGCGCTGTCTAGCAACTGGAGAGCCAGCAAGTCTCTTCCACCAACGCCCGACCAAACCCTCTGCGATTGCATGGTCAAGTCTCTGTCATGCATACCGAAAAAAGACCTGTCTTCTGAAAAGTTTGGTAAAATCTTTGGCTACATCTGTGAAAAGGACAAGGCAGCTTGTGCTGGTATTGACAGAAACACTACAACAGGTGTCTATGGTGCATATAGCATGTGTGATGATAGGGCTAAGCTTGCCTACATCATGGACACCTACTATAAACACCAGAAGAATGGAGCATATGCATGTGACTTTGATGGGGCAGCTAACACCCAATCCCCTGAAAACGATGCTTCTTGCGACGCTGCCATCGCGAAAGCCAGTGCTGAAAATGATAGGGCCGCAACGGCTACGGGGCCTTCGGGTGCAGCATCAACAGGGAAAGATGACGAAAATGCTGCTAGAGCTGTCTCCGTTTCTAACGGTTTGTACCCATTTACAGTTGGCTTTTGTACGATACTCTGGTTCTTCGTTGGTGGTGCTTTAGTTACGGTGTAGACGGTGGCAAAGGCAGTATTTTGCGGACATGGCTCGCTTCTGAACCCTAAACTAATGTAATCCAAAATGGGAAGATACACGTACATCAAAGAGAGAGGCTTCCTTGCAATGAACCACAAAATTGTAGAGCTTGGCATCAAACCAGCACGATAGAAGCTGCAGAACGCCATCGGCGAGATTCTTCTCCATGGCGCGGTTTGATGTATCAGCAGGACTTCCCGGATGGTTCGCATGTGTCCAACACTTACAAGGGTGTTTCATCTTTCAACTGACATGTTTGAAGTCGATTCCAAAGACTGTTCATCAAGTGAAAATACAAATATATAAGGCTGATTTGTAGCCTATGCATCTTCGAGTGTTTCCAGTTCATCGCAACCGACACATTTGTTATAAACTCGTCTTACAATGAAGGTTTTTCAAATCTTATCGTCTATAGCAGGCCTCGCGGCGTTGGTATCGGCTTCTCCCATCCAACAGGCTTCGGATGAAGAGCTTTTGGCCCGTGGCCCGCCCGCTAGCGGATGCTACCCAGCGTAAGAGAAGCGATCTGATATATAAACCTATAGTATAAAACTAACGGATTAAAGTGCTGCTCCTCGATGTTATGTACCTACTCATTACCAGTGTACCAACGGTAAGCCCATCATATAATGCGGCCCTCAGTATTCTCAACAAATAACTGACAGCTGTAGGTTGGATCTGCCAGTTTAACCCAGACAACCAGAAGGCTGGCGGGAATAGCTGTGACCCGCCATGGGGCTATCTTGGCCAGAGCATAAGCCAATTCCCTGGATATTGTTGTTAATAGTCCGGTGGATATTAGGATAGGCATAAATGTGTCAAACTATCTTAAATTAGTTATACAATTGATTCGCCTAAATGACTAGTGAATTCAGTTTTTAAACCAATTGTATCAACCAACTAGAACTCAAATGATGCCATGACAAGCTTTAGTTTTGCAAACATCCAATCTTATTAGTCTAAAGGTCGAATAACTCAGTTGGTTGGAACGACACTCGACTGCACACATAAAGTTCTTACCCTTGGCCAATTTCATTTCATTTTTATTAACTCAGAGTAGATTAAGCCTATCTAGATAGTCATTACGGATATATTATATAGGTTTAGGACTGTAATTGAAAACTAATGCGTCTTGTTGTTGCTGATGCCCCTCCCTACTCTTTCTTTTCTGGTAGGTGAGTAAATCTTCTGCTGCCGTGAGGTCTACACAGCCATATGATACGATATAAATATGTGTCACTATAGTTGCATATTCCTGTCAATCTGACAATCGCAATATCTTTGTCGATTTCCCAAAGTAGGTGTTAAGATGATAACACCCATTCGCTATCGCCAACCCAACAAGTAAGGCTCACCCTCGAGCTCAGATCGTTGTAAAAGGTTCTGTATTGCTACAGCCTCTTACGTTACTTGAAGACAGCTACAATAGGCGATCCGACAACTTCATTAGGGTATTCCTGCTACTATCAAGCGGCCAGAGCGGCATGCTTGTGGGAGTGACCCCCGGTATTATAGTAGTGGATAATAACATGAAAATGCATGCAAACACAAAATGACCGTTCATTGCCATGTTGAGGCAACTTTATTGCTCTAACCACTATTTTGGTCGCATAAAAGTGCAAGGGAGGAAGCAGGACGAGGCTTTCATTAGGCGAAATGCTCAGCTCTTCTTCACCAGTTATGTCTCAATTCTGCCATGGTACGAGCCAGCCAGACTTGCACGACTTGAGCGCGCTTGATTGTTTTAGCTGCTCAGCTCGCTCGCGGTCCCAAAAGACCATACCAAACCACCTCCAAGATTCAAGTGCACTCTTTGCCTGTTCGTAGTCTTGTTGGTTTGCGCTGTCTGGCGGGGGTGCCTTTACTAAGTCACAGCCCCATCTACATGTTTCATGGCCTCGAAGCGCATCCTTCCAAGCCCAGGGCTCGCTGCTCGTACTTGTTTCCACTCTGGAATCGGCAGTACCGAGGTTACTGGACGACTGTTGGCTGCCATGTGAAGGAGACGGTATTGTAAAGCGGTGACTTCCCTTGAACATGTCAAAGAGACCAAAGCTTGCGGATATGTGGCCGCTAAAAACGTCCCATTGACATAAACGGTCGAGTAGAGAGTTGTCTGAATCGAGCATACTCTTCATCTTCTTGGCGAATTCCTCAAGTTCAGGGGCGTAATGCGTATCCCAGAACTGCCAGCGTACGGGAGAGCGCTCGCCGTTCGGGCCTCGCTTCCTCATCTGGTAATCTGCCAGCGATACGAGGAGCTGGCCCAGGAAATGGTCCATATCTGATATCTGCTCTAATTCCCATGTTTGAAAGAGCGAAAAGACCATTCTAACGAATCGGGGATAGTCGAGGGGTCGAGAGTACTTTCCACCATGGATATAAACAATTAGTTGGCGGCGTAGGATCGCTTGTGCAATCCTGCCATGTTCGGTCCGACTTAGACGAGGCTGGGCAGGGGGAAAATTTGCTTGCATTACGTCCAATTCATGCCCGAAATATCGAAAACGGAAATAGACGAAGAGATCGACAAAGAATTGGGCGAGCCGGGTGACATGGGTCAGGGCAACTGCAGTGTCGGCATCCAGCATCGTCACCCATGGCGCGTTAGCGACATGCAAGCGGGCTCTATAGTCTAGGACTGCTGCGTCAACTGCCCGCTCAAGTTCTTCATGGGTATCCTTGTCAAATCGCGACGTTTGTGCGAGTAAGGCAGCGTCCCGAGTTGCAGGCCCGAGAATGTTACTGGCGACGTGGAGGAGCACCCTGGCCTTGGCGGAGAGAAAAGCATGAAGCAAGGTCGGTGACGCACGAATAATGGAGGCCAGGTCGCTAAAGGAGTCGCATGCGGATAAAATTGTAATGAGAACGTCGGTATTGAGAGACTCCAGCGCACACAGCTGGGTGTGCTTATTCATAATGATAGAAGATAGCTGAAGACGTGACTTTGAAGACATGGGCGGCGAGTGTTGCACATTTCAATCATGAATAATATATGGATCAATACACGTATTTATACCCCGCAGTTGAATGGAGTATTTTAAATCGTCTGTGCGCCACTGGGGCGTGGTTGGTTGTGCTACTGTAAGCGATCTAGATTTAAGGTCCGGGTACAAATATATAAGTTGGCTCCTCCATATTCTATTACTACCTAATAGTACCTAGGCTAAGACGGGCTATTCTAGAACACATGCATCGCTTGTATTTGCAGTCTCGCCAGAATGACCATTTAGAACTCATCTAACCTATCCAGCAACAGCCTGTTCGGTCTTGAACGGCAGTGTTCCTGACACCAGGGTTGCGCACCAGCTTGATGATAATGCCCTGGTTGGTGTAAGTGCCGTTCTTGAACTGCGCCTGCTGGTAGCGGGGATCCGTCGTGTTGACTTTCACGCCAATTTGGCCGCCGTTGATATCGCAGCCGTACAGGGCAGCGGCCTTTTTCTCGGGCGTAGCATTTGCGCCGCCATCAATGGTATTTGCAATGTCGTCAAACGTGACACTTGCGGCGTCGTCGCCTATGAGCTTAGCCATGACCCAAGTGCTGCCCTTTGTCGTGACCTGCCACTCAGCGCAGTTGTCGGCATCAGGCAAGGGCATGGACCAGAATTGCGGATTACCTGGCTGAGAGCCGTAGAAGCGTAGGTATCCTGTGACGTAGGTGATTTCTTTCAGCGAAATGTTTTGCGGTGTCGCCCCAGCCTCGTTGTAGCAGATGCGCTTGACGGGCTCCGGTTCAAAACAGAACGCGCTGGTTTGGCTAGCCAGAAAGATGGCGCCGGCAGCAGTAGATAAGGACAGCTTCATCTTTTTTATTCTGCGTGAGGGATCAGAGTAATAAATGGAATGCTGTTGAAAAGTGAATGTAGAAGTGTGCTCTGGATATTTTGCGGTTGGATTGGGTGCATGTGTTTGTCGAACTTATATAGCAATTCAGTAATAGTCCACAACTTACAATGAACACCAGGCCTATAGTTTCACTATCTTCAACCATGCATCTACCATATACGTGTCTATATTTACTGTGGCCTGATATTAGCCATGAATGATACTACTACAAATAGCACATGCTGGGGTGCCAAAGCCACGAAATGCAAGCTGCATGCTTAACCTGTAGAAGGCGTCTGTTTTTCCATAGTAGACAGATCATTTTCTTTTCTGCTTGTGAGGGTCACACTGCCTTTGGATAAGAGCCTTGTTCGGTCGCATACGCGGTGAAGCCGGCGATCCCACGGTGGTGTACAAATCCTATGCTAGTATACACACGGGTTTGGTTTAAGACCTCATTGGCTGGAACGCAGATTGGGGGCTGACGGCGACATACACACGATCCCCACATGGGTTTATTCCTACGGCTCCTCTAGCCACGCTAAGATCTGCTTATTCATATGCTTATGGAAACAAAGACAAGGAACTGAGTTGTTCAATGGTATTCTCGGGCGTTGCCTAAACAGACAGGCGCCCCGCCTGCGCAGGCTCTTTACATCTGATTTGGTCCACTGCCTTGGAGTTTTCGGCGGCATTGCATATGATATTCGGGCACATAAAGGTACAACCATCAAAATTTGATATTCCTTCCAAAATGCAAGTGTCGCTATGGCGCAAGCAAAAAAAAATCAAAAAAAAAAAAAAAATTCAATTGGCCTAGGATTCCAAAAGTTTCCGACCTCACCGAGAAGAATTCCATGCAATATAGAACTATGGCAGGAATAATGATAATGTAATATCGCAGATATATATAAACAGATTACACCACAAATGTGTGGACTATAACCACACGCGGCTCGATTATCCTACTCGGGTAGCAGGGCCTCCTCAAAGCCAAAGTTGGGCTTCGTCTTCGCGAGTTGCCCGTTGCCGTGATGTTGTTCTCTTTTGCTCTCACGGCTGCAATTTTAGCAGGAGCTGAGGCATCAGAGGCATCATGGAGAGCTTTGGGTAGCAAAGGCTTGTTCAAGGGCTATCCAAAGGTCTTTCAAAATATACCACCTGTAAGTATACTAATGTTCCTTCTACTATTTCACGTTGCTGATGAAGTTCTAGAACCCTCCGGCATACATAGTGGATAACACAGACAACTTGAGCGGTCAAGCACCAATCAATGGTAAGTATATACTCATTCCTTTTATAAAAGCTTACTTTAATATATTAAAGGCTTTTTATATATTAAATAATTATATAAAGTTTTAAATTTTTTTAATAAAATTTATAAATAATATAATAATTTTTATAAAATTTTTAATAAATTATTAATAATAATTAATTAATTTTTAAAAGCTTTTTATTTTTTTAATATTATTTATTTTTTTTTATAAATTAATATTTTATAATTATTATATTATTTATATAATATATTTTTTATATTTTTTTAAAGTTTTAAAAAAAATAAAATATTATTTAAATATATAATAATAAATTAATTAATAAATTTTTATAAAATAAAATTTATTATTTATAAAAAGATTATAAATATATTAATTAATTTAAAAAATATAATTAAATATTTAAATAATTTATATTATATTTAAAATATAATTTTTAATTTATTTTTTATTTTAATTTATATAATATTATATATTTTTTTAAAGTTAAATATAATAAATTATTATACTTTAATTAATTAATTTTTAATTTTTAATATAAATAATAATAATAAAAAAATTTCTTTTATAATTTTATTAAATTATTATTAATTAATAATAAATGAAAGTTTTTTATTTTTTTTAAAAATAAATATTATTAAAAATTTAAATAAAATTTTAAATTTATAAATATATTTTTAAATTTTTTATTTTTTATTTTTTAATTTTTTTTTAAAATATAATAAATTTTTTATTTTTTAAAATATAATAAATTTAATTTTTTTTTAAAATATAATAAATTTTTTTTTTATTAAATTATAAATTTTAGAAAATTTAAAAAGCTTTTTATTAATTAAATTAATTTAATAATTTTAATAATTATATTTTAATAATTTAATTTTAAAATTTTTATAAAATATTTTTTTAAATTAATAATATTTAATTAAAACTTTAAATAGTTATTTTTTTAAAAAGTTTTTATTATTATTTAATATTTTAGTTTTAATTTATTAAAATATATTATAACCTAACTCTTAAAGTTGCAATAATAGGCTAATAGGTTAGTTTAGACTAAATTAACTTTAATCTTTTAACTAATTAAAAGGGGATTAAAATATAACTTTTTAATTTAATAAAAGATTAATAAAACATTTATTAATTTAAATATAAATTAACACTTAGATTATTAATTTAACTTAAAGCAACTGGGTATATAAATTTACATTTTTACGTTTATTTAAATAACTTAAATAGTTAATTATTAATATAATAATTAGATTAAATTTAATTACTATATTTATTAATTATATAATATTAATAAAATAATATTTATATTTAATTTAACTGCTTTATTAATATAAACCTAAAATTTAAAGGTTTATTTTTTAAAAATAGCTAATCTATATTAATATATAG